TTTCCTGCTTTCTCCTATGAAGATAGTGCTATAAATTTCCCTCTAAACACTGCTTTAGCTGTGTCCCAGAGATACTGGTACATTGTGTTTTTGTTCTCATTGGTTTCAAAGAACTTATTTATTTCTGCCTTAATTTCATTATTTACCAAGTAGGCATTTAGGGACAGGTTGTTCAGTTTCCACGTAGTTGTGCAGTTTTGAGTGAATTTCTTAAACCTGAGTTCTAATTTGATTGCATCGTGGTCTGAGACCTGTTTGTGATTTCCATTCTTTGGCATTTGCTGAGGAGTGTTTTACTTCCAATTATGTGGTCAATTGTAGAATAAGTGTGTGTGGTGCTGAGAAGAGTGTATATTCTGTTGATTTGGGGTGGAGAGTTCTGTAGATGTTTATTAGGTCTGCTTGGTACAGAGCTGAGTTCAAGTCCTGAATATCTTTGTTAGTTTTCTGCCTCATTGATCTGTGTAATATTGACAGTGGGATGTTAAAGTCTCCTGCTATTATTGTTTGGGAGTCTAAGTCTCTGTTGGTTGTTAAGAACTTGCTTTATGAACCTGGGTGTTTTTTTTTTTTTGAGACGGAGTTTCGCTCTTGTTACCCAGGCTGGAGTGCAATGGCGTGATCTCGGCTCACCGCAACCTCTGCCTCCTGAGTTCAGGCAATTCTCCTGCCTCAGCCTCCTGAGTAGCTGGGATTACAGGCATGTGCCACCATGCCCAGCTAATTTTTTGTATTTTTAGTAGAGCCGGGGTTTCACCACGTTGACCAGGATGGTCTTGATCTCTTGACCTCGTGATCCACCCGCCTCAGCCTCCCAAAGTGCTGGGATTACAGGCATGAGCCACCGCGCCCGGCCTGAATCTGGGTGCTTTTTTATTGAGTGCATATATATTTAGGATAGTTAGCACTTCCTGTTGCATTGATTCCTTTACCATTATGTAATGCCCATTTTTGTCTCTTTTGATCTTTGTTTGTTTAAAGTCTGTTTTATCAGAGACTAGGATTGCAACTCCTGCTTTTTTTTTTTTTGCTTTCCATTTGCTTAGTAAATATTTCTCCATCCCTTTATTTTGAGCGTATCTGTGTCTTTGCACATGAGATAGGTCTGAGTACAGCACACTGATGGATGTTGACTCTTTATCCAATTTGCCAGTCTGTGTTTTTTAATTGGGGCATGTAGCCTGTTTACATTTAAGGTTAATATTGTTATCTATGAATTTGATCCTGTCATTATAATGCTGCCTTATTATTTTGCCTGTTAGTTGATGTAGTTTTTTCATAGTGTCTATGGTCTTTACAATTTGATATATTTTTGCAGTGGCTGGTACTGCTTTTTCTTTCCAAATTTAGTGTTTCCTTCAGGAGCTCTTGGAAGGCAGTCTTGGTGGTGACAGAGTCTCTCAGCATTTGATTGTCTGTAAAGGATTTTATTCCTCCTTCACTTATGAAGCTTAATTTGACTGGATAAGAAATTCTGGGTTGAAAATTCTTTTCTTGAAGAATGTTGAATATTGGCCCCTACTCTCTTCTGGCTTGTAGGGTTTCTGTAGCGAGATCTGCTGTTAGTCTGATGGGCTTCCCTTTGTGGGTAATCTGACCTCTCTCTCTGGCTGCCCTTATCATTTTTTCCTTCATTTCAACCTTGGTGAATCTGATGATTATGTGTCTTGGGGTTGCTCTTCTTGAGGAGTATTTTTGTCATGTTTTTTTGTATTTCCTGAATTGGAATGTTGGCCTGTCTTGCTAGGTTGGAGAAATTCTCCTGGATAATATCCTGAAGAGTGTTTTCCAACTTGATTCCATTCCCCCCATCACTTTCAGGTACAGAAAATATAGGTTTGGTCTTTTCACATAGTCTCATATTTCTTGGAGGCTTTGTTTGTTCCTTTTCATTCTTTTTTCTCTAATCTCGTCTTTAAGCATTATTTCATTAAGTTGATCATCAATCTCTGATATCCTTTCTTCTGCCTGATTGATTTGGCTGTTTATACTTGTGTATGTGTCACAAGGTTCTTGTGTTGTGCTTTTCAGCTCCATCAGGTCATTTATGTTCTTCTGTAAACTGGTTACTATAGTTAGCAATTCCTCTAACCTTTTTCAAGTTTCTTAGCTTCCTTGCACTTGGTTAGAACATGCTCCTTTAGCTCAGAGGAGTTTGTTGTTACTCACCTTCTGAAGACTACCTATGTCAATTTGTCAGATTCATTCTGGATCCAGTTTTGTTCCTTCGCTGGTGAGGAGCTGTGATCCTCTGGAGGAGAAGAGGTGTTCTAGTTTTTGGAAGTTTCACATATTTTGTGCTGGTTTTTTCTCATCTTCATGGATTTATCTACCTCTGGTCTTTGATGTTGGTGACCTTCAGATGGGGTTTCCGTGTGGATGTCCTTTTTGTTGATGTTGATACTATTACTTTCTGTTAGTTTTCCTTCTAAGAGTCAGGCCCCTCTGCTGCAGGTCTGCTCGAGTTTGCTGGAGGTCCACTCCAGACCCTGTTTACCTGGGTATCACCAGCACAGGCTGCAGAACAGCAAAGATTGCTGCCTGTTCCTTCCTCTGGAAGTTTTGTCCCAGAGGTGCACCTGCCAAATTTCAGCTGGAGCTCTCCTGTATGAGGTGTCTGTTGACACCTGCTGGGATGTGTCTCCCAGTCTGGAGGCATGGGAGTCAGGGACCCACTTGAGGAGGCAGTCTGTCTCTTAGCAGAGCTCAAGCTCTATATTGGGATATCCACTGCTCTCTTCAGAGCCGGCAGGCAGGAATGTTTAAGTCTGCCAAAGCTGTGCTCATAGCCACCCCTTCCCCAGGTGCTCTGTCCCAGGGAGATGGGAGTTTTATCTATAAGCCCCTGACTGGGGCTGCTGCAGAGACGGCCTGCTCAGAGAGGAAGAATCTAGAGAAGCAGTCTGGCTACAGCAACTTTGCTGAGCTGTGGTAAACTTCACTTAGTTCAAACTTCCCTGTAGCTTTGTTTACACTGTGAGGGGAAAACTGCCTACACAAGCCTGAGTAATGGCAGGCGCCCCTCCTCCCACAATGCTCGGGCATCCCAGGTTGACTTCAGACTGCTGTGCTGGCATTAAGAATTTCAAGCCAGTGGATCTTACTTAGCTTGCGGGCTCTGTGGGGGTGGGATCCACTGAGCTAGACAACTTGGCTTTTTGGCTTCAGCCACCTTTCCAGGAGAGTTCTCTCATGCTGGTGTTCCAGGCACCATTGGCATATGAAAAAAAACTCCTGCAGGTAACTCAGTGTCTGCCCAAAGGCCTGCCTAGTTTTGTGCTTGAAACCCAGGGCCCTGGTGACATAGGCACGCAAGGGAATCTTTTGGTCTGCGGGTCGCAAAGACTGTGGGGAAAGCGTAGTATCTGGGCCAGAGTGCACCATTCCTCATGGTACAATCCCTCATGGCTTCCTTTTGCTAGGGTAAGGAGTTCTCCAACTCCTTGCACTTGTTGGGTTAGGTGATGCCCCACCCTGCTTTGGCTCACTGTCAAAGTGGGCTGCACCCAGCTTAACCAGTCCCAATGAGATGACCTTTGTACCTCAGTTGGAAATGCAAAAATCACCCCCTTCTATGCTGATCTCACTGGGAGCTGCAGATCAGAGCTGTTCCTATTCAGCCATCTTGCCAGTCACCAAGTTACTTATTTTACACAGTGGGAAGATTAGCAAAAATAATGGCCTGAAAACAAAACTCTTTGTCATGAATATGGAGTTTGTAATTGGTGATGGTCTGTGATGGTTGGTGGCAGTAAGTCACAGAGTGCATTCCTCTTAGAGCCAATTAACTTATTTAGCCAGATATGGGTCTCTTTATCTTTATCATTTTAGGAATAGGGCACTGGTGTTCATAGTGTGACTGGCTAAGTGCAATTTGCTACTGTCCATAGAAAAAGAAATAACTTAAATTCCATTTATTAGATATGTATAATGGATATATCAACCTTCACATATCAGCAATGATACACTTGCAAAAAAAAAACGTAAGATGGAAAGGAGACTAGTCATCACAGATAATTTACCTTCCTTCCATCTTGTGGAAACATCAATAGTGAAATCTCAAACTGGTCACATGCACATACAATTAATATTTGAAATGCTTTGTACCTTTGTGAAAAAAAGTTTTATCCTCAGATCCTTTGTTGCTGATTAAACCCACAAAACAAAAGAAAATAATGTTTTGAGTCCCTGTTGATAACGTCTCAGCTAAGATTCAGTTCATTAAAGAATGTTCCCTTTATGATGAACTAAGGCAGTTAATTCAGAGACACGAAGAGGCTTGTTGTAGCAATTCAGGATAAGGTAATGTCAGCAGGGAAAGGAAGCATGTGAAAATCACCTTCAGCATTTGATGGTTCCACGTTAAGCCTAACAAAGGGAAACTAGTGTAATGATTGAGGTAACTCAATGATTCCCAAACTTGGTTTATTATGAATCCAGTTGGAGGCACTTACTAGAAATACAGATACAAACTCTTTCACTGGAGAATTTGATCCAGGCGAATCCTGTTAATACTTGAGATAATCTGATATCAATGATATGTAGTTACTAAAGAACAAATTAAACATAAGATACAGGATACATCCCCTTGGCTATTGCTTCTTATGCCAAATGGCTTGGAAGACTGTATCTAACTTTGAATAATAAGTCAATAATGGAATTATCATAGTACTATAAATCACAGACCTTCAAAGAATGTGTTACAAAATATGATAAAATATATATTGGAAGACAACCCTAAAAATTGATCAATAAACCTTGGGAAAAAGTCCATTAGGTTATTTAAATAAAGATACATTTTAAAAATAATGTAGCTGTTTCACTTAATGGAAACTTCTCTGGAGCCTATCTATAAAAGTAAGGAAGTGCATGACTCTGGCAAATGTGAAACAGGATTGTCAAAGCAGGGCTAGGTATCTCTAAATTGGTATTGATTTCCATCTATTGACCAGTCCCGGCTGCTGCCCAGTGGAACTGTAAGTGAAAAAATAATCACCCTCTTTAAGCAAATAGAGTAATTTATTATATAATAGTAGTCCAATATGTTTTTATATATTATAGAGCATAAATACATTTATTGTAGAGAATAAACACATTTTATATATTGTAGAGAATAAATAGAATATACACAATACAGGAAAGAGAGAATAACCTATAGTTATAGGCACGTGGCAGAAAAACTAATCAGTGAATCCATCAACTATATTTCTTAGGGCCTACTATGGGTTAGGTACTTGTATTAAATTCCAGGCGCACAATGGCAAACAAGACATGGTCCCAAATTTCAGGGATCAGTTATTTAGAGGGTCTTCTGGTATCTAATCTAGAACTAAGTAGACTTCTAAATGGATCATGAGTAAAAGTATAAAAATAGAGGGTGCACAATTGTTTATATAAAATGTCTTTTCCCTGTTAATGACATCAGTAACCCTGGCATTTTAATATAATGCTTAATGCATTTATTGCTTCTTATGGGAATTATAATTTAAAAATTTATTTGACTAATTAAATGTAAAATTTATAAATGTGAAATTTGATTTAGTTAAGCCGGTCATCTTTTACAGAGATGTACCTATATAGTCAAATATTATTTTAAGATGAATCTTTTTATGTTTGATAGGTAATATATGTATAATAAATGGTTATCAATGAAGAACATTATCCTTGACCTTATTTAGCCAATTTAGTTGACAATTAGACATTTACTCAAGTAACTAACAGTTATGAGGGGACCAACCACCACTTGGGTGTAAAAGGGCAAACATGATCTTTAGTTTAGTGTAACTAAAACGGCTTCTACTGATGTTGCCTGTACAGTGATATAATTAGAAAATATCATTAAAAAAAAAAAGAAAAAGAAAATATCATTAAAAGATTACTTCCATGGGTAACAACCCTTTTCTCTGTGAGAATGATAACTTGCTAACAGGAAATATGCATATTCAGCCCTACAAATGATTTAAACACCAACATTTTAGAAGAGTGGTTGAAGTTTTAGAAAATATTTTCAAGATATAATTAATGAGTACCAGTCATGTTCTGTTTAGTTTTCAGAAAACAATAATGTATTTTCTTCCAATGAAGTTTTACATACACAACAGAAGTTTGCAGTTTAAGCTAAATATGATGGGCCATTTTTGTCTATACTTATGGAACTTATTTTTTTGTCAATATAAAGATTCAATATTCTAGATACACAACTATTACAGATTTTCCAACAGTGAATACACTACACAATAAACAGAGCACAAAAAACTATAGAAAAACACCAGAATTTCTCTTAATTCATCAATTTTATAAGTCTTCACAATCTTACAATGAATGTGGATCTTCATACGAAAATGAAATTGATGATATTTACAGTGGATGGGCACAGAATGGTAGAAACGGGTTGCTCACATGACAATGAAGGTAACTTTTAGTATTTTTGAATTTATTAATTTTCATTTAAGCAAAACCTACCACTAATATCCCATGAATTTTTGATACACTCTCTTTACATGCTCATTAAAATTACAATAACATTTTTGGTATATTTCTATATGCACATTAAAATTAGAGCAGGAGCAAATGAATCATATGTGACACCATTGGGTAAATGTCTAGAAGAGGTAAACTCTTCCAGCTAGAAACAGACACTTGTTACATATATAACTTCAAAGTGTAAGATATTTCCAGCCTGCCAGTAGATTGTTTCATAGGAAATATCTGACACCTATGAGGAATGTTCACCTGCCGTAATTAGCAGTGCCAAGTGAAGTCACGTGCCTGTGTAAATCTTGAGTAATGCGGCACGTTAGGGCTTAAGATAATAACCACAGCTAGTAATTAAACTGCAGAACGTTTAGCTGGCCTGCCACTGAAAGATTGAACCTAATCACTCTTTGAACTTCAGTCTGGAAAAGGCACATTGTGCCTGATATCTTAATAATTCTCTCATTACAGGACAGGAAAAAATGAAAATTTGAGTAAAATTTTTAAAATGTTTAAACTCTTCATGATCTTTCTAGCTAAGGCTTTGGCTTTATAGAATAAATATAGTGGTAACTTCTTGGTGACAAGAAACAAGAGGAAAAAAAGACTTCTAACAAAAATAGGTATGAGTAATGTTAATGAATACAAATACATTCTTGTAAAGTAGATAATGAATTTGAGAATTTCATTAGAAAACATGTCTTTTTAAATTCTCTTCCAATAACCTCTGGAGACTCCAACAATAAGGAAAATATATTCCTACTTACAAGAGTATGGTAATACTGACTACTGATTGCAATTTCCATGCCTGAGAGATGCCAGACTTCAAGTTCCAGACTTCCATGCCAGACTTCAAGTTATGCGAAAACTTTAGCTATAGATTTACCACTTAAAGTAGCTTACATGTTTTAATACAACCTAGCTATTCTTAAAGGTAGAGTGGCTTGATCACTATAGAAACATCAATAATGAACATATTAAGCAATAATATTCTGAAAAACTGTTTTTAAAAAACAGGAAAAATAAACATCAACTTCTCGTGCAAAAATCTGTAAAAGTTTAAGATGCCACTTTACAGAGGTCAAGCTGATGATCCATTAATTAGGTATGGCTGCATTATTTTAAATACATGTATCGTTTTAAGATACTCCTTCACATGTCTGCGCGAACAAAAGAAGCAAATACTCCATCTTCCCGAGCCAAGAGGCTTTCTGGAGTGTCATATTCTAAAATATTTCCTCGCTTCATCACGATAACCAGGTCTGCCGTCAGAATAGTGTGAACTCGATGCTGTGAGTGAAAAGAATACATGTATTTGTTATACATTTCAGGGCACGAGCCAAGACAATGCAATATGTATATTTCACAAATTATTCTGGGGTATTTGTTTATCTTGGTAGTGATGAGATGTGGGAATCACAGACACCTCCTCTTTTTTCCTTATTTAAATGATCATTTATTTACATACTTTTAAGCAATGGCCAACATGGCTGGGTTTTCTATGGGCTGTATTAACTTGAGTGTAGCTAATATATCAATGTTATCATTTTTATGAAACCTTAAGTATAAGTAGGGTAAAAATGTTTATTAAGCAATTAAGAGAGGCCATTGCGAACCAGTGGAGTTAAACTTCGATGTCAACAATAATGATCTCTTGTGCAGAGTCAGTAATCCCCTGGGTTATAACACAATTTGAAGAACCCTGGAAAGTGGTTCCGTTCTGGGATGATAATATGGGAAGTCCATTCTGGCATGCAGTAATAGAAGGGATTATCCAGGCCTTTAGACATGCAGTCTCAGTCTTTGGAGATCACTGGCACTGACACAGTCCTTCTTTCCACATCATGGCCTTTGGATTAATTAGTAACTAATAATGATGAAAGTTACCACTTCCTGAGTATATGCCATATATTAAATGCTCCACACACATTCTTGTGAATCATTAGAACATTTCTCAGCTGTGAGTGTTCTCTCTCTCCACTTTATAGGGGAGTCCATTCAGAGAGATAAAGCAAAATCAGGAGATCACGTAGATAATAAGTAGCAGAACCAGTGTCAAAACTAGGTTTACTAATTTTAAAATGTAAGATATTTCCATCCTGTCATCTATCATAAGGCTCTCTGATACCTTAGAGGAGCATTCACCTACCACGTCAGTGTTATGGTTAACAGAACAGGCTATGAAGTTAAACTGGGCTTGTGTATTTTGGCTTTACCACCTGTTAGTTGTGCAATCTTGAGCAATATGCTTAACTTTGTGTAGTTCCAGTTTCACATCTGTAAAATTATGGTAATAGTATCTGCCTCAGAGAATGGTGATAAAGTTCCACTGAGATAATCCATGTAAAAAAAGTCAGCACCTTGTCTGACACATACAAACAAATAATAAATGTCAACTACTATTATTTTTTATGTTTATAAATTAGGAAAAATCTCAGTGATGGGCCTTTACTCTTGCTAAGATCAGTGTTGTTCAATAGAAATATAATGGGAGCCACAGGTAATTTTAAATTTTCTAGGAGCTACATTTTCAAAGTAGAAATAAGTGAAAACAATTTTAATACATTTTAAATACAATTTTAATACAGTCTATTCAGATGTTATTATTTCAATATGTAAACAGTATAAAAATGATTCATGAGAACTTTTACATGCTTCTATTAGTATTAAGTCTTTAAAATCCGGTACATATTTTACACTTGTGGCACTTCTCAATTCGAACTATCCACATTTCAAATAATAGCCACATGTGGCCAGGGGCTACCATACTGAACATGAACTATAAAGGTCAAAATATTTGTGTGCTGATGGTAGTCCCTGTCCAGAGTTCTAAAGCTAGAAATGCTATCTGTTTAGCTGATAAACAGTCTTCCAAAGCTTCTCTGAATAATTCCAAGTCCAACCTAAAGCCATCCCCAGAGGTAGGGCCTACATTCTGCCCTAGGCCATGTAGATGAGGTGGACTCAGTATTTATGCTTTCAGGAAAACCAGCAGTTATAGTTGTGACTCATGACTTGAGGGGAAGAGAAACACATATATGGAATGTGATAACGATGCCAGCTTAGAACATGCACCAGTTTTCAACACCCATGACAAGCCTATTGTTCACTGAATATTGGTAACAAATGATGTATTGGGTTGGTGCAAAAGTGGTCATGGTCTTTGCCATTACTTTTAATGTCAAAGACCATGATTTATGAATTAACAAGATTTTGGAGGCTGTTTATTTATCTTTGAGAAAGGACCAGAGCCATTTGCACACCCACACATTTGGAAAAAGAAACTTAACAAACTATCCAATAATATCCGCTGTGCATTTCCCTCCAGAAAAATATTAGTTCTTCAATAACCATATCATGGACATCTAAAAAAAGAATTTGGCCTCTAAATCCATAAATGTAATACTACAAACACTGCATTAATATTGTAAAATAATGTTTACTAGAAAAAAATAAAAATGAAAACATTAAAAAATCTTGGCTAACAGAAATAAATATAGTTGGTTTTTATTCCATTATTCCAAATAACTTTTCTTTGACAAAGAGTGGTGTCAGTTGTAAATGTGTTGATAAAATTTTCAAAACATTCCAGAGAAATTAATTGTGTAATCACTTTCAGAAATAAATATATGGACTATTTTGGTGTGTGAGTGCTTCCGTTTAGAAGCTGGAGAAAGTTATCTTTTTAAGTTATTCCACAATTTTAGCGGCAGTTAACCAAAGTAATAAACTCTTAGGCAGGGAAGGAAAAACAGTTAATTTTAACAGAGCTGAGGGTCATTCTACAAGGAGTCTACCACAAACGTGGTGGTGCTTTCCCTTTTATGAGCCTGTTAGGAGGAGTTGGTCCTCTAAAAAATACAGTGATTCTTCCTCAACAGCTTCATGGGTATTAGGGGCGGGTGGGAGCAGGGAATTCTAGGTATCCTAGTGGCCACCTTCACACAGGTGATCTTGAAATGAAGAATGGGTGAAAGATACGAAAGTCTATAGAAATGTATTTAGTGAATGTAGGAGGAGAGAAATCAGGTAAGAGGTAAACTAATCAGGAAACCTAACATGTTGTTTAAAGTACAAATGATGCTCAAGTATCTTCCAGTTATTGACTAAACAGAACCACCCAACAATGCCATGCTTCATGCAGAGTATAGAAAATCCAGCTTTTGAGTAGGCAATGGTCTATTTTTTTCTTCCTCTCTCCACCCATTTTGGGGCAACATGAGGTTCTTTATCTTCTAAAATATTTCCCTATCTTTTCCAGTAAGAAAATTCTTGAAAATACTGGACAATTATTTTTCAAGTTAAACAATTCTTCTCCCCCTTAAATCATTCACACCTTTTCACTGGAAAAATTAGAGAAAGTAGATTAGAAAATTCTTGAAAATACTGGACAATTATTTTTCAAGTTAAACAATTCTTCTCCCCCTTAAATCATTCACACCTTTTCACTGGAAAAATTAGAGAAAGTAGATTTTTCTTTACTTAGGCAGATTGCAAAAGCGAGCTCTGATGGGGTATTTCCTGCCATCTTAAAAAAAATGCTGCATTCCAAAGGGGTTCTATTTCTTCCATGCATCATCCAAGAAAGTGGAAGCATAGCAAGCACTCCGTACACAACTCCCATTACTCACCAGTGAAACTCAAGTAACTATTTAAATTTAACAATGCATTCTCCAGGGCAGGTAAGAAATGTGTATGGCATTTTTATGGATGCTTAAAAAACATCCCTAGGGACTAGTGAAATTGGTCCTTAGAATAAGAAGTAATTCAGTTCCTAGGTTTCATAAACACTCTCTTTTGCATGTATATATTTGAAAACACATGCATGAGCCCCATTTGGCAGTGAGCATAACTAAAGCACTTGGTTGAGCTGATTTTGTAACACCCTGCAGTTAGTTCCCTCATCCCCGCCCTCCTCTTTATTCAAAGCATTAGCCATGCCTTACTGAGGGGATACTGCTAAGATAACTACCAGAGAATGACAGATTTGGCGCAGTAGGTCATGACGGTCTACTTGTTGGTCATCACCAAAGTGGAAAAGAGGCCATTCCTGAGGGCGAGCAAATTTGGAACAGTATCACACTCCACTAAAATACCCTCAGAAAACACTAAAACAAGGCCTGCATCCATAATAGAAGAGACACGGTGCTGGAGAGAAAAATAGAAAGAAGAGAAGAGAATCAGCAGAAGGAAAAATATCCAAGTGACTCATTAAAAAAATAGTTTTTGTTAAGCAGTAAGCCTAAATGTGAGCAAGAATCCACTTGCAAAGAGGAAAAGACAGAAAGCTGTGGGCTATTTTAAGTCAGCTTTAATGTGAATTACAAATATTTACGCACTTCTATTTGATTGGTGCTATCTAAAACAGAAAAACTTACCTGCCCCTACCGTGACAAATCTCATTGTCTATTTTTTAAATAGATAAATGAATGGAAACATAGAAATTAGGTATAGATAGTAGCAGAATAAGCAATCAAATGGAGGAATTTTCTTTCTGGAACTGCTCATCAGACCATCAGATTGTCGAAAAGAGAATTATTCTGTATGAACTACCATTGTATCTGGTGAACAAGCAGAGGCTAGGACCCACTGGAATCTTTAGATTTAGGATGTCCTCTCATTGTAACTTAGGGAAGTCAGTTACGTAGAGCAGACAGTTTGGAAAGAACAGTGCTTTCAAAACATCTTTGTATTTGTTTTTAACAGACACAGAAACATTAGCTGAGAAATATGTAATTCAACAGAAGTATATGTTGCTCAAACCCAAAGATGATAAGATGTTAGAACAGCAGAGAGGTGTTTGGACTCTGTCTTCTCATACTTACAGCGATTGTCACCACAGTGCGGTCTGCAAAGGCTGTCATTACTACTTTCTGCAAAATATTTTCCTGCAAAAAAAATAAAGTGTAAATTTTCTCTGGACTACTTTGTCTTACCATAATGTTTTGCCCCAAGAACAATATTCCACTCAATCCCTTGTGAGCACTCTCACTCCCTAGTCTTCTGTGGAAGGCATAAGAAAGAGCAGTCCCCAGCAGCAGGTTCATGTTGGATTCAGTACGTGTCTTCAAAATACAAATGACAGTCAGTGATCAGCTGGAAGTGTGTGATAGATTTATTTCCAGGAAACCCACAGAAGAAAATGAAATTAATGTAGTATAACTCAAAATGCTCACTTGAGTTATACTACAAACAGTATATATTAGAAACCAGCAAAATTCTGTAATGATGTTTACCTTTGAGTCAGAAAAGGAAAGAACTAAAATTGATGCCAAAAATTTGGACTTTGACCCATAAATGAACATTCTAGGCAGAAACTGTTTTTATTCCTACCTCAAAGCACTATTATAATTATATTTTCAGGGCTGTTCTGGATACAGATTTCATCTCTCTTAGAGGAAATCTTGGTTCAATTTTTAAAGTGAAGGAGTACTTTCTTTCAATCAACTGCCATTTCTTTCATACTCTCTCCTTAATTGAGGCAATATTACCCTTATAATAACTCTTAATGTTGTAAAACTTTAATAATTAATACTTATTTTGAAGGTGCTTATGCTATTTATTGCAATGACTTAATCAGACACCAATTTACTGCTTTAGATTAAGTTTAAGAAAGCTGTATAAGTCTACGTACTTCGATTAGACTTACTTAATAGAAAAAAAAGGTCAAGTAAGCATCTCCATGTATAAATAGCTCTTAAAAAACTTGAAACTGTTTCACTTTATGAGTAGTTTTACCCAATCTAAAGTGTGCAGCAAAAAAAATAACATGAGGTTGTGGGTTCTTTTTTTGTTCTTTCTGATGTCAAATTTTAGTATCAAGTTGACTCTCAAAAGAACATTAATTGCTAGCTCATACACAATTTATGATTTAATGTAATATTTTCCCTACTGAATCACAGCCTTCTGGACAGATCTTTCTTGAACACATTTGACAACTTCAAGTACTATCTTTCAAAAGGCAAAATTTATGGCTTTTTAGAATAAACACATAGAGAAGGCTGTTATTAATTCTAGCCATTATTAATCCAAGTGAATCCTTCTTCTTCAAATTTGTTTAGGAAATAATGAGTGGTGTTGTTTATCAATAGATTCTATTAAATAGAGATTTTCATACTGCATTTCAGAACTTTTATGGCGTAATACTTGAATATAGTACAGTACCTCTCATCAACTAAGCCCTAAAAATTTACTGTTCTGAAAATTTATCAAAAAGTTGTGGCAAATTTATTTTATGTTTATTGGTAATAGGAATGCCTTTAAACTGTATATAGGGTCCTATTTATTTTAATTCTCAATGTGCTATCATCAGTTCATCAAGGAGATGATTGAGAAGATTCTCAAAATAATGGTACTTGGATTGGATTGGATTCAGAACCCAATCAGGAAATAATTAACGATAATTTTCATGCACATTTCTCCAATTTGTCAATTTTACAAGCACAGATAATGCACTCACTGTGGCCATGTCAATGGAAGCTGTTGCCTCATCCATAATAAGAATGCTGCTTTTGCGGACAAAGGCCCTGGCAAGGCAAAATAGCTGTCTCTGTCCAACGCTGAAATTCTCCCCACCTTCAGTGACAACCGCATCTAAATCAGAGAAAGAAGCAAGAATTTCACTAACGGAATGCTACCAACATTTTCTTGGGCAAAATCATGTAAACCACAGTACGTTGTATGACAGCATGATAGCTATCACTTAGTGCTGGTGCAAGGATTTCATACTGGAGTAATGAAGATGATCCTAAATCATCTCATTTATAACAATAGGTAGGGAATTACCTCTGATAGTAGGATATAACGCATTTTGAAGAAAGGAAACCCTTGGAGATTATTTAATTATTTAATACTATTCTCTAAGGAGATTAATTACCTAAGGCCCAGAGAGATGAAATGGCTTGCCCAAAGTCACATTTAGCTAACTTGATAAGATATAGAATATTCTCAACTCCAGTTCCACTTCTCCTTTCATTCTACCATCTCTCTAGACTGTTAAGTACCAAGTGGATAAGGACTGGATTTGTTTTTGTTTCAATATGTCCTTAGTACTGTGGTATCTTACACAGGAGCTGAATAATCCACTGTTGTATGGATAAATGAATGGTATGTCCTCATTATCCTTTTCTTTTTTAGCGTCCATCTATATTTCAGAAACTGTACTATTGTGAGTTTAAGATAAATTCTGTTTACAAAATGTCTTTAAAATTAGAATTCAAACACCATTTCCTAAAGTTCTGGGGGTAATTTCTATTGATCATATTCTAATGGTATCAAAGTCTTACAATTTGTCATGATTAGAAGATAGGTATTTATTCTCCAAATTCTAATTTATATATAAAAGAGGATGCTGGGGATAAGGAATGTTTCCACTAAAGCTGGCCTGAACCAAATATTCATTAAGCAATTGGTCATCTTTACTAAGATGATAAGCATAATATAGTCAGTTACATAATGTAAATACAATCTCCTATTGCCTGTGCTTTACCATAACCTCAAAACACTATGCCCAGAATTCTAAACAGGTACATGTAGCTCTCATGTTAATGAAGAGGATTAGAAAGATACAATAGTCTGTCTTTTCAACTATTAGTGGAGAGGAAGGAGATCTCTAAATGCCAAGAGAGAACGTTCTATAAGCATGTATTAATTTCTCAAGTAGACTTGCTGGGCTTTCCACAGGAGATATTAAAAAATTATTATGGGAGCTAAGCATAGTGGGGCATCTATAGTCCCAGCTACTCAGGAGGGTGAGGCAGGAGGATCACTTGACCCCAGGAATTAGAGGATGTAGTATGTGATGGTCATGCCTGTGAATAGCCACTGCACTCAACAAGTCTGGGTAACATAGTGAGAACTTGTCTCAAAAAAAAGGAAAAAAATCACTATGGGAAAGTTCATCCAGAATTCTGGAATCACGTTCGCAACCTGACCCTGGCAAGTCAATAAAACTTTCCTTAAAGACATGCTGTCTTAACTTTTGTTTGTGGCATTCTTTCTCCTTGGAACTTAATTAAAATAATAAAATGTAGTGTTTTTGAGGTGGCTCTCCTTTTCAAGTAAACTAACAAATATACGCAATTTTATTTTGTAGGTTGATTTTTAAAAATCTAGATACCAAACAACACAATTAGGCAATTATAAATTGTATATTAAATTTAGAATATCAATCAACTATTATCTTTCCTATTGCTTTCTTAGATGAGTTTAGATGTTAAGGAAGCAGAAGTCAAAAATCATACGTTTGATTTAGTGAGTTAAAGACAGTGATTTTAATCTGTGATTAATCTCTGTGATTTTAATAATCACATTTTCTTTCATTCTGTTATCACTTATTTGTCAGAAATTGTACAACCTCTGGGACTGAATTTTTATCAGTGATTGAGTACATGTTGTGTTCTCTATGCACTTGGTTAAAACTGATACTGCTTCACGGCAATGCAAAACAATGTCTTCAGACACAAAGAAACTTATGTCATATCAATAAAAAGAATTTTCCCTTCTTGCAGCAAGGGAATGGCTACTAATGTGGCAAAACTGGCTTTCCCTAAATGGTGCCAAAGACTTAAACCTGATAGCTCCTGCAATCCTCCCATTTATTTTCTGATGGTAGGTGATCAGACAGGTCAACTGAGCAAAAATCACCATAGGGAAACATCCATTACGATGACCTGTACCCACCAACTGTGAAAAGATGGCAGAGATAGCTGTATTAATTGGAATATTTTGGAGTAGTCACATAGAACAGAATTTGTTACTGGGTTCATTCTCTTGTATCCCATGCAAAAACATTAGAGTTTGAAATATTCTATTGACTTTTAGGATATTATTGTAAATATAAGGAGATTTAACACTAAAGTTATGTGATTATAGCACAAAATATAGATAAAGATATGTAGGATTAATGGCATATATAAAATATAAATATACTATTTGGAAAATATACCTAGACCTCCTGGTAGAGATTTGACCATATTCTTCAGCTGAGCAATTTCTAAGGCTTCCCAGAGTCTGTCATCTGTGCATTTGCACTCTGGATCTAAATTAAATCTGTAGGGAAAAATTAGTTAGTCAATAAGTAAAAATAGAGAAACTTTTATGTATATTTGCTTATTGCTTTTCTTTCCTTACAATGTAAGTTCTGTTTGTTTGGTTACTGCTGTATATTCAGCACCTAGAATAGTGCTCAGGGCAGTGCAAGCACTGAATTAGTGTTTGATGAATGAATGTATCATCTTAGTAGTATAAAACATGGTCTTGATGACATTATTATATAACTTAATATACATTATATCATATAACCAAGTTTGTTACATAGATCCATTTGCTCCAAATAATGCTTGTATAAACCGAATACTATCTAGCAAAATATTCCTGCAGAACTGATGCTACATACACACATCTCTGTGGAAACATATGACACTATTTTAGATAGGCTGTGCTGCACCACCAGTAATAGTAGTGTATTGGTCCATTCTCATACCACTAAATGTTTATAAAGAAAAGAGACTTAATTGACTCACAGTTCTGCTTGGGAAGGGAGGTCTCAGGAAAGTTACAATCATGGCGAAAGGGGAAGAAAAAATGTATTTCTTCACATAGCAGCAGGAGAGAGAAGTGCCAAACAAAGTGGGAAAAGCCCCTTATAAACCCATCAGATCTCTTGAGAACTCACTCACTATTATGAGAACAGCATGCGGGTAACTGCCTCATGATTTAATTACCTCCTGCCGGGTTCCTCCCATGACACTTGGGGATTATGGGAACTACAATTCAAGATAAGATTTGGGTGGTGACACAAACAAACCATATCAAGTATTATGCATAATAAATATTCTTGGAGATAGAAATTCACTATGTCCTTGCTAAATTACTCGATACATCCAGAAGTTTTAATTAAAGTAGTTTTACAACTATTAGGCAATCTTACATATATTTTCTCTTTAATTAGTAAAAGGAGATGTCAGACACTTCTTTGTAATTAACTAGATAGAGGTGAGAAGCAAGATAGACAAAAGATAATCAAATGAGAGATATGATCTGGGGGATGATGCTGATAGGATTTTTCTCTGTGTCACCACACAAATCTTATCTCGAATTGTAATCTTCACATGTCCAGGGAGGGACCTGGTGGGAGGTGATTGGATCATGGGGGCAGTTTCCCCCATCCTGTTCTCATGATAGCGAGTGAGTTCTCATGAGATCTGATGGTTTTAAAGTGTGACAGTTACCCCTTCACTCTCTCTCTTTCCTGTCACCATAAGAAGATGTGCCTTGCTTTCTTTTTGCCGTCTACCATGCTTGTAAGTTTCCTGAGGCCTCCCCAGCCATAAAGAACTATGAGTCAATTAAACCTCTTTCCTTTATAAATTACTCAGTCTCAGGTCATTCTTTATAAAAGTGTGAAAACAGACTAATAAAGATTCCAACATGGACTTTGGAATCAGAGGAACTTCAGTTGGAATAGCAATTCTTCTACTTACTAGGGGTATGAACTTGTGTTAAGTTACAGCTTTGAGTTTCAAAATTCTCATATGTGAAATGTGGATAAAAAATATATACCCTAGAGTAATATATTTAAAGGACCTAGCAGATGGTTGATATCCCCATTTTTTTTTTTTTTTGGTGGGAAACCCTGAACCACCAAACTGGGAAACCCTGCACGAAAACTGTAGCAGCTTTATTCATAGAAATTTTGGCCGAAGTAAAGTTATAAGGGGTGGGGGGATAGGTAAAAGGATTAACCAAAGTCAGAATCTCTGCTGAGGACAGGCCAGACATACAAGTTAGACTGGATATCTGTAGGACAGAACACCTTAGAAATGTCTGCCAAGCATCACTGCTCTCAAGTATAGAGGACAAAGTGGCTTTTATAGAAGCAAACTGAAAGGGATGAAATCTCTTGGAAACATAAATTTTATAGGTTAATTTAGCAACTCGAGGCTTTTCCAATCCAGCTTGTTGGACAGCATATTTGATTTTGTTGTCCTGATATCAGTTCGCTCATACCTGGAAAATGACTCTGAGTAAAACCTTTCTAAGAGTCAAAGGCTAAATCCTACGGCACACAGATGTTTGCTGAACATGTTACCTACCTAATGGAACCACTGAATAGTATTGGATCCTGCAGAATGATTGAAAGTCTAGAACGTAGTGTGTGCAGTGGTAATTTAGAAATGTCTATCCCATCAATGACAATTTTTCCTGTTAGGGAGAAACAGAAATTATAGGCATGTAGTAAAGTAACAAGTAAAATAATATTTGTTCACAAATTAAGAGTTCTTTCCTAGTTCAGGGTTGAAATTCAGAAGACTAACTTTTCCATTTAAGCATTAAAAACATCATGTGTCTCTAAAAAAAATACATGTTTGGTGACGGTTTATTTTTCTTATGTATTCCTCCTAAAGGAATTCAGAGTTTTTATTTGGTTTACGTGATCATACCAACCAAAAAGTACTTTTACCCCTTACTGAGCCCTGTCCCTTCTTGTATTCCCTTTATCCTCCTTCCCACTTTATTTCTCTTCATGAGATTTATCAGAATCTGATATTCTATATACCTTTACTTATCTTTTTAATTGTCTGTTCCCCAACTAGAATATAGGCGCTTTGAAAACCAGGATCTTTGTCATTCATTCCTATATTGATTTAATGGTACAATGCATTACAAAGAGAAAAGAAAATTCTGTGATATGAATATCAAGTTTTAATAAATTTCTCCATACTGCATATGGACTCATAGAGATTTGTGCAGTCTGGATGTTGTTTCTCCACCGTCATGTATGCAGTTAATCATATCACTTTTATGCAGAGACCATATTGCCCTGTGAGATAAGATATCAGGCTCAGAATGGTAGCTGGAGTCTTTTTACCAGATAAATTCAGAGCAGGCAAGGGTGATTAGCTTAACCTATGTCTTTCAAGAATAATAGATCAGAAATAATAAATTATGTATTAAAATCTTAATAGCCTACTTCTGTTAAAAAGAGAATAAATCACTGATAGTGTTCACATGGGACCTGAAATCATGTGTCTGGACTCATGAGGATCAGGCTAACCTAACATGATCAGTCATAAACATAGTGTTTTAATGAAAAATGTCAATTGATTTTGATCACTTAACTGCCTTATAATTTTAATCCCACTGAAAGTCCTTAAAGTAACTAGTCATGGAAAAAGTCAGCTGCTAACCTAGTGACAGAAGTTTATCTTGTTCCTGAATTTAAACCCCAAAGAAATTACACTTACTATAGTTCGATGTTGTTCATAAACTGACCTCTTTATCTCACAGAGCTGTTGTGTAGATTAAATTCAATAATATAAACTGTCAAGTACAACAAACATGCAAAGTGCTATAATCATCATAATCATTACAGATAATAACAGTAATCACTTCCTGTACTGTCAAGTACAATAAGTTCGGTCAAGTTGATTGCTGGATCCTCTTTCATTCAAGATACCTTATGTTCTGGCCTATTTATAGGCCATCTGATAGACTGAATTATGTGACTTGTTTTAAAAACAAAGATTAAATTGTTTCTATGCTCTTGTATATCATATTATTAATAATTTGGTGGATAAATAAATAGTTGTGTACATTGTTATCATGAGCTTTATCACTTTACAGCAAAGGTTGCCTCCTCACAAAATGTTCAATGTCATTAAACCATAATATTAAGCAGATGATGGTAAGAGTCATGTACCAAAATTTAAATGGCAATTTACTTATCTCCTTGCACTTTTTTCCTTTGTTGGAAAGAGATAACATGTTTAGTCTAAAGGAAGCAAGGCAGTTGTCCTTCCTCTTCCTTTCTCTTGAAATGCCACCTCCACCTACTGCCATTCAAAGTGGGTGGCCTTGTTTTCATTTTACCAGTTTATTAAAATGCTTTAAGGATCATCATTTTATTTCCCCAATTCTATGTCCTTTCTTTACTTTTGGGCTGTTTATTTGGGATATCTGCCTTGAACCATGTGCAGAGCACAAAGTCCTTATAAATATTTGCTTTTTATTTCTGCAGGATTAGGTAAATTGATTTTTTTTTTAAGGAAAGCACCACATGGCCATTTAAAAAATTTAGTTAGCAACTCACCATCAAATATATCAACCATTCTGAAGAAAGCCAGAGATAAGGATGATTTTCCACTGCCAGTGCGACCGCATATGCCCACCTACGAAAACAGCTGTCACTCAAAGAGAAGAAGACTCAAAGGACAGAAGATTAGCTTAAGTTTTGTGTTTTAATTTAAACAAGATATTATGATAAAACTATAATTATATTTAAATAATTACATTATAGATATTTTTTCTTAGGTCTACAGTATGAATTATCACCATGATAAAAACAGGCTGGGCACAACGGCTCACACCTGTAATCTCAACACTGGGAGGCTGAGGCAGGTGGGTCACTTGAGGTCAGGAGTTCTAGACTAGCTTGGGCAATATTGCAAAACTCCATCTCCACAAAAAACACAAAAATTAGCTGGATGTGTTGGTGTGTGCCTGTAGTCCCAACTACTTGGAAGGTTCAAGTGGGAGAATAGCTGGAGCCCAGGCGGTTGAGGCTGCAGCAATCCATGATCATGCCACTGCACTCCAGCCTGGGTGAAAGAACAAGACCCTGTCTCAACAAAATGAAAATATAAAAAACAGTTCTCACCAAATCTTCAACGATTTCATTCTAATTATTTTTATTTCCTTCATGGCTTGTTTTTTTTTTTTTTTGCATTTAGTGTATTGTTGGACTAACAAATAATGACTTCCATGTTATCTTAGAAGTGATGGTTTTATAACAAAAAGTAGAATGAGTTCATTTTCTTCTGCCCACTTGTTCTTTTTAAAATAACTAAAATAAATCATTTGGGAACTAGAGTTATTAAGAATGCACAGGTTCCCGATGGGATGGCTAATATGGCAGGAGCCAGAAGACAGACATTTTTAAAAACATGCCTATTGTTGACTTTTCTCATCTTCATGGGAGACTAGTGAATTACAATATGATTTAGAGTCTGATCCTATCTCTCTGTTTTTTTTTCTTTTATGCAGATAGTTTGACCTACACCAGGTAGGGAATATTATATGTGAGCCCAGTGAGAATATACTTACTTGGATGGGAAGTCTGAAGAGCTTAGGCAGTAAAAAACCAGATTCCCCTGGAGGTTTTACTCCAGGGGAATCAAATCGACAAATCAAATGCAGTGATTTCATACCTTTTGTCCAGGTTTGATATAAGCCTTGACATGTTTAAGAACAGGTTTCAGATTATTTTCATATCTGACACACAGATCATGTATCCTGATCTCCCCTTCTTGTGGCCAGTGTTCTGGAACTTGAGACGGATCTGGAGGATGAGGTGGGGAAATCGATAGATAATAGGTAGAGACAGATGTAGAAAGAAATGTATACATACTTAAATACATTAACACATATATACTTTTTTTTCTAAATTTAAAGTAATACTGAACAAAACTATGTGGTAGGTTTTTTAAAAAATTTAAATATTATTCAAATAAACACCTTTTGATTTAGCACTTTTAAGACAGTTTTTTTGTGTTTATTTTTGGAGCTTTAACCATCATCATGTCTCTTTAGCATTCCATCACTCAATTCTATTCAAAGTGGACAGAGATAGTTCATTTGTGAATTGATTTATTTGTTCAGTCAGTTGGTCATTCATTAAACACCTAGGTTCCTAAAAAGTGAGAGGTACTGTGCAAGGTGCTGGGAATGTGGAGATGAGAGACACAGCTCAAGGTGCTTGCTCTGTTCTTGGGGAAGTGTCCAGTATGTCAGCACCTACAGTACTTCATGGAGCCCCATGATGAAGGCAAACCTATGGTGCTCTAGGAGTATGGATGGTGCTAACCTCAGAGGTCCAGGAGGGCACCAAGAGGAACCAGTGCCTGAGATGAATCTTAGAGGATGGGAGATGGGGAAATTTATTTTAAATATATCCACATAGGAGAACAAAGAGGAAAAGAAAGTCTAGCATGTTAGTGTGGCCAGAGTAAAAGTGGTACAGGTGGATGACAAGAAATGGGACAAGATAGATGGGCAAGGGTGGGCTAATGAAGGGCTCATGATGTTAGCTAAGTGTTCTGGATTTTGTCCTTGAAGAGCTAGATGGCTGTTGAAAGATTTAGGTAAAGAAATGCCTTTTAAGCTTGAGATTGGCATTAATAAAGATTATTCTGTCTTCAGTATTGAATTTCCTGCCAGTCTTATTCTAGAAAAGTTAAGAATCTCAGTAAGTATTTTCAGATCCAAATTTCTTGACATCTAAGTTAATAATGTCTTGAGAAAGATAATATAATAGTTTATAGTTTAGGTCAGCAATTAATGTAATAAAGCCCAAATATTTTTACAACCCACTTTAAATATCATTAAAGAATCCTTGTTTGGACTCTGTCTGGTTTTATCCAAGACTTTTCAGCCTAAAGAGTCATATCTTTTCAGGTGTACATAATAAGCAAAGCCAAGGTGAGAGACAGTTTTCTGGATATTGAAGTGGAAAGCAAATGCAAAAACAACAACGTGCTCAACACACAATAATATTTGTTTAAAATGAATATTTAAGTGAAACAAACAACATTTAGAGCAATACCCATGGTGCCTTCATAGTTCTCTGACTCCATAGTCAGGAAACTGTTCACTTTCTTCACTGCACCCATCTGGACCTCCAGGTCAGCCAAGTTCCTCACAACCCAATTCAAATAATTGGTTATCTGTGCCAGGTGATAAAAAATTTTTTTAAATAAATTAAAGTAAGAAATTGTGGTAATCACTAGAAATTTTGGAATGGGTTAACCTGGACTATTAGTATATACATGTGTGGTACAAATCGTAAGTGCTACATGGAGAATGTGATGCAATGTATCAGCAAAGAAGGTGTCTGCTCCCTTTAAGGGTCCATAAGTGTCACTATTTTGTGAACTGTCCTCTAATTTCCCTGCACGATGGATAGTGGTATAAACTACTGTTTGCACTTATCTCGTGTATATTCATATTCATTGTAGTGTCCCCAACTGGGTTGTGTACGACTCAGGAAAGGGATCCCAAATAGCCTTGAGAGTACTCTGACCACGAGATCTGAGACGTTTTTAAAAATTGGTTCCCAAGGTAGAAACAAATTCAAACCATACTATAAAGCTGCGTTTGGGCCCCAATCTACTATTATTTGCAAGATGTAATCTTGTTATGAATTTAAACTTCTCCTCTAATGTCCATGAATAAGAGTTGATAATAACTATAGAAAGAACCTCCAACATGGCACAAAGTGAGATTTCTTTCCCTTTCTTTCTTCTAAAAATGAGATACATGTGCACAACGTGCAGGTTTGTTACATAGGTATACATGTGCCATGATGGTTTGCTGCACCAATTGACCGACTGTCTAACTTCCCTCCCCTTACCCCCATCCCCCATCCCCCAATAGGTCCTGGTGTGTATTGTTCCCCTCTTTGTGTTCATGTGTTTTCAATGTTCAACTCCCAGTTATCAGTGAGAACATGCGGTGTTTGGTTTTCTGTTCCTGTGATATTTGTATCCATACTTACCGTAAGTGCATACAGAAGACCCAAGCCTACCAATCCAGAATTCGAAGACCCACTAATGGATGCGATAGATGCAGTGAGGACAATACAAGCTCCCAGATAATCCTTTGAAAAAGCAAGAGAAAATATCAAAAGATTACTCCCAAGTTCTTAAACCAGGTATTTCAATCTACTTACAGAGGTGATCACAAAGGAATACACATCATTCCATGTGCATCCTGTTAAGTTTCAGAGGAAGAATACCTAAGATATGTTAGAATAACAGCTTGCAATAACAGGGCTGGAATAGACAGTAATTCCATGCTCTCACTAGGTAGGTAGGTAGGTAGGTAGGTAGGTAGGTAGGTAGGTAGATAGATAGATAGATAGATAGATAGATAGATATGGGTTCAGAGAAGTTAAACATCTTGCCAGAAGTTAAGAAGTTAAGCTACAATTGGTGGCACAATGAGGATCAGATGTAGGGTTTCCTTTTTCTCTCCCCTGACTTTCTACAACGTTGAGTTGCCAGATAAGCAATTATTTCTGGACCTGATTTTCTAGCTCAGATTTCGTGTGTGTTTATGTCAGGATTGTGATTAGCTCCTCTGTGTGGTGTAGTGAGGCCCTTGCAGAAATTTGTCTCTGGTTAACTTGTTGGGATTTGTATTTGGTTGATGCAAAAGTCATGGCAAAAAATCACAATTACTTTTGCTCCAACCTAGTATTTGAACTTTTTGTCAACTATCTGGACTGAGAGTCTGGGACACTAAAACTACAGCTTTCACCTAAATAAGAATAAGGGCTATATTTGCTCAGATGGTACAAGTATGGGCATGTCTTAATGTATTTAAATAGTGTATGATTCAATTATAAACTCTTTTCCAAAATTAAAACAATTCTTTAATAACAGCCTTAAATTCAAATAAAAGGTGGGGACACCTGTCCATTTCATAATGCTTTCGTTTTATCCCATTTCTCAGTGCTCTTGGGTATTGTTCTATCTCATCATTTAAAAAAGAAATTCTAAAAGCTTCTCATGTTAATGTGTCACACGTCCCCAAAGCATGTAGAATTTGAGATATGGTCACTTTCTAGAATTATCTCAAGTCTCATTCCCCTGGTGAACTCCTTCTCTAGTCAGATTTGTCTCTGGTTCCTCAAAAAAAAAAACCTCACAACTAGATAAGAACATATTAATGACAGTAATGGAATGTTGAACATGCTGAAGTCAAAGAATGAAGTTTCTCAAATGAGCTCACATCTATACATTCCGGCCTCTTTTAAAAACCGCTCCAAAGATCAAACTGTTGGAGAACTATCAATGGTCCCAGCCTTGGAATCAGAATCTGGGTCAGACACTGACTTTGTTAATTACTAGTTAACGAGCTTAGATAAGCAATTTAAAACTCTCTAAGACTCAATTTCTTCCCTGAAAAATATAAATCATATTTAATTCACAAGGATTTTTAAAGGAATAAAAATGTTAAATGCCAGTTAGATTTCCCTATCTACATGTTCCAAAATGTCTTTTTTTCCGTTTGGATAATTTTCAAATGTTTCAAGCAAGCTTAAAAATTTGTATGCATCATAAAACATCAAAGGTTAAAGCAGGCACTAAAATTCAATTCCATATTGATGCTCATGATCTTTACAAAGATTAAAGGAAAAAAAATCCATGGTTAACCCTTTGAGGCAATAAATTCCACAGAGGTAGTAAGTACTTCTTTGATTGCCTCTTCTGAGGTATCCTTTTCTTAACAACTTGCCACACCCCTATCAGACAGTCTTTCTCTTTTCCTCTTTATTTGAATTAACTACATGGATGCAGAGTTTAAGCAGTGTGGGATGTTCTCCTGCAGTTTATACATGCCAGTGTGCTCCCAAATACTTCTAAAATATTCACAGCAATAGGAATTTTTTCCCTTCAGCCATTTTGTGTAATGTTAATACTATCAAATTTATGTTATACATTGTTATTTCCATATTATTTTTTCTAAAAGTCTCATAGAGTTTCCGTAATAAGTTGCAGAAAGTAAAGTAGTACCAGAAAATCCTTCCAGCAAGGTATGCCTGGCTTGACATTAAAAGAAAATATTTGTCATCCGGCTTCTGAGAAATATCTGTGGGTGGTGTATGTTAAGGGTTTGAGGTGAGGTACTTCTTTTATTAACTTCTATTCTCTACTTCCTGCCAGCTGACTTCATTCATTCACTCATTCTTTTAAAAATGTAAGTCAGGTAATATAACTCCCCTATTTAGAATTAACAATGCCTTCCTATTATACTTATAATACATTCAAACTCAGATAGATTACAAAGCCTTTTAAGATATAGTCTGGATTTTGTTCCCTGTCTACTCTGACCTCATCTAGGATTATTTCCAGCTCCTTCACTATACTCCAGCCACACTAGCCTTTTTCCTATTCTTGGGAATACATCAACTTTGTTTGTGCCAATGACTGCCTGAAATACTTGTCAACAGGTCTCTGATAACTGGCTCCTTCCCATCATTTGAGTGTCAGCTCCAATTACCTCCTTGGAGAAGTTTTCCTTTCTTAGTCCCCAACTCCAGCTCTGTGCCTCTTCCCATCCCACTGTCCTGTTTTATTTTCCTCAAAGCACTCTGAAGTGTATGAAATAATCTTATTTGCTTGTTTACGTGTTTATTGTCTATCTACTCTCATTAGAATCTAAGTTCCATGAGGACAGGGTCTTTGAATTTTTACCACTGTTATCTCCAGTAATAGGAATAATGCTAAATACATTGATTGTAAAGCTTCAGTACTTTGTGGAGTAAATGATTAGATAAATTCACCCCTTCCTAAAACATTCACTAAGTTTTTCTATGAGCTGAATATTTTCCAACTTAGGGCTTCTCCCGACTTTGCTTTTAGGATTTATATGAATCATTTAAGGCTCTACCAATCTCATATCCAGATTTTAAAAGTTAAACGTGTAAAGGTATTACCAGGGTACATTTTTTCTGTGGGAAAGATTTTACTTTTCCACAGAAAAAGGTACCCTGGTAATACCTCTACATGTTTAATACCCATTTAATACCTTTACATGTTTAATACCCATTTTAGTCTGTGGGAAGTCTAACACAGAGTTTTACAATCTTTTAACTCTCTCTTCCATTTAGAACTGTAATATGACTGTCTCTTAAAAAGCTTTGCTATGTGTGTTAGGGTTATTTCCTTTTCTAAAGTGAAAAGTACTTTTACCTAAGCCATGAATTTCAATATTCAGTTCCAAATTATTACATTTTTTTTTTTACTATTTTAATTGTGGGGGAAAAATTCACAAAATGTTGTTGCTGTGTTTTTTATAGATAATAGATGTGGACTAGAATAGAACAAAGTCATATCTGAGACACTGAAACAACAAAAATCACTGGGTCTAAATTAAGCAGTAGGCATAATATGAATATAAATAAAATAAAGGAAATGTAAAACATTATACACTCAGTTTCTCTCTAGTAAGTTTAGTTTACTATGGAAATCTTTGTGTTCTATATTGGGCCCCTGAATTCACTCACTGTAAATAATAAAATGGTAGATTCAATTAGATGATAATTTTAACTATTTTCTATTGAATTAAAATGATAATTCTGATAACAGATAGGTAGTCTTATTCTGGCAAAAGGGCCAGCAAAAGAAGTGAAAACAGATGATGGGAGAAAAGGTAGAAGGCTCATCAGTAAGTTGTGGTCAATATATATTTTCTACGCCTCTTTCATGTGGGCCCAGAAAATATAATATTTTCAAAACTACTTGTACAATTTTCAATCCGATCAGTAAATATTACTAGTTATTAGGCCAGTAATCAAAACATGCTCAAATTCATATATTAAAATATTTTGGAAATAATGTTTGACCCTTCAGCAAAAGAAAGGCATAGCTTTTTGAGGTATATTTTATAGCAAAACTTTTCAGAAGAGGAACTGATTTTCAAAATCTAAAATCTATTAAATTCAAATAGATATTATAGCTTGAAAGCCAATATGTCTATAGTTTGGTACCAATAACAAAGTTATTTTACTATAAGAATATTTTAAAACTTTTTTTTAAAGAAAAAGCTATTCATGCTGTCTTTTAATTATACTAACTAAATACTTTCCATCTCACTCCTGGATTATTATCCGTGCTAAAAACTGTTTTTTTCTAAAGTACTGGAAATATTTTAGAAATTTCTGATCAGAATTTTATCTTGATTTGCATAAGGGACAAAGCTCCTTTGTATATTACACTTTTCAAAAAATATACAGCAAAATCACTAAATTTCAATCAGTTCTCTTCAAATATTATAGTAGTATAGAAATATGAAATTAATAGCTAACATAAAAGCTTTTGTTAGCTCTCCATTTTTTACTTCCTTTACTGTTAGACTTAACAAGTTTAATGAAATCACAAAGTGACCCTACGGTTACACCTTTCCATTCCTCTGCAAATCTGTGAGTAGCAAAACAGCTTAGAGGCAATAAATTAAGAAAGAGAAGCAGATGGTCTGAATAACTTTCCCAGAAGACAGCAAATACTTAGGGATCACTAATAGCATTTATTCTTCTGCTATGGCCTTACACATCCTAAACTATCTACTCAGTGAAAAACACCTTCCATCCAAATGATACAATGAAATGAGAGATTCAATTTAGGAAACAGAAGCTACAACATAGATGAATCATCTACCTTCAAAAGAGGGCTTTTACCTGTATAATAGTAAATTATAACTTCCATCAATTTTGCAAATTCAATACTCCCCACCAGAAGATTTCCATGTTAAAAGAGAGCCCTCTTTTCAGATTTCTAGTGATTCAAAAACATCTATCTGTATTTTGAATTATAATGAAAATTATAATTCTCTATAAAGCAGTCTGGTAAACAGTTAATAGCAACTGAAAAGTATATGATCCATCTCCTTCACACAGCACTCAGGAGCACATTATGGTACCACTGGGTGTCTGCAAGAATATATTAAGGCCTCCAAATTACAAGATCAGTGCATCCCTACCTGGCATTGAATTGTGAACACACTAAAAAGCAGTGTTATCTCATAAAACAGACTCTTGTGCAAGCTCACCCTAACGACCATTTTCACTTTAGCCTGTTGACTAAATACTTTATT